AAAAATACAAATATATAGAAAAATTGCTTACCAAAAGCTTTGAACAGTACAACAGCATACAGTATAACAATAAAAAGAGAAAATATGTATACACAAAAGACACAAAAATATCCTCGTTATGTTATAATATTATTTGGTAATCTCATTCAAGTTTTCTTTCTCAAGACTCATGTGTCCCATGTCAGCAATGCAGTAGTGTTTACTGTACCCATCCACTTCCAGAAAACGTGTTTTGTAAATAATTCATGATAATTGCATGATCAAATCAAGAGTCAAGACTATCGGGGATATTTTTATCCTGCTGATCTCATGCAATGCGTATGTCTTATGTATGATCATGAAAACCAGACGCCACACACACAACATGTTAAATGTTAAAATAATTTTAATAACAATACAAGCACATATTCAAACACTTGACATTATTTATACATTTATTAATTATATGTTAAAGTGCAGTTAAATTGTTCAGTAAAGGCTTCCAGCAGTTTTGGTATGGCTTCCTCAGTTGGGACGTCCCGTCCCAGCTCTCGGCTCAGTGATGTCACACCTTTACCCACAATCCCACATGGCACAATGTTGTCAAACCAACTCATGTCTGTGTTGCAGTTAAGAGCCAGTCCATGGGAGGTGATGTATCTTCTACAATAAATACCTGCAAAACACAACAATTACCTTTATTTTGCTGACAAAAGGTACTTTTTTTTAAAACCTGGAAATAGTAAATAAACCTGTTTTATCATTTTAAATAAATAAATGATATAACAAAATGAAATTAATATTCTGCACTATTTCTAGGAGACCAGTGAAATGTAAATAAATTGTGACAATGAAATGCTCATGGGAACACTACCATTCAAAAGTTTAGGATCAAGTAAGAATTTTTTTTTTCTTTTTAGAGAAATTAATTATTTTATTTAGCAAAGATGCATTAATCGATCAAAAGTGACTGTAGAGGCTTTTACATTGTTACAAATAAATCTTAAAAAAAAAATACTATTCCTTTGAACGTTAAATTCATTTAAAAAAATCCTGAAACGCATCATGACTTCCACAAAAATATCAACATTGAAAATAATAAGAAATGTTTTGTGAGCACCAAATCAGCATATTAGAGTGAATTCTGCGGAAATATGTGACACTGAATTATATTTTACAATTTATTAAAATAGAAACAGAGCAAGTTAAATTGTAAAAATGCGTCACAAAATTATTATTATTATTTTTTAAAAATCAAATAAATGCAGTCTTGGTTATAAAAACATTTAAAAATATATATAATATATACATATACATAAAATATACTATTTTAAATGACTGCTTAGAAACTATCTCTATTTTATAAAGCGCTACATAAATAATTATAAATAAAAGTGAATAAAAATAATTCAAATAGTGTAGTTAATGAAATACTACAGTGGTGGTTAACAATCTATCTATCTATCTATCTATCTATCTATCTATAATAGTTGGGAAGGACATTTTTTACTTTTGTAAAAAAAATAAAAAATACAATTCCAATACGTGTAATTGTTTTCTTTCAGTTTTGATGCTATATTGTTCAAAAATGGGCAAATTAATAATAATAAATAACATACAGAGGTGTCCACATTTTTGACCAGTAATCAATACAATACAAAAAGTAAACCTAAAAAGTTACTTACCAATTGCACAGATTTTGTTGTTGCCCACCCAGACACCTGTATCTGGAGAAGTGGAGGCCTCGATCCTAAATTGGCTGCACATCTTGATCACCATCCTTTCCAGTTCACACACATACCATCTCACACTCTTCTTAAAGCAGGCCAGGTTGAGGACGGGATAACACACCAGCTGACCAGGACCGTGAAACGTTATCAGACCTCCTCGGTTGGTACGGAAGAAGTCTGCGCCCAGCGCTTTGAGTCTCTGCTCCTCCTCAGGAGGGTAAGGAGCCTGTCTGATGCCGATGGTGTACACAGGCTCGTGTTCACATAGTAATAAAGTGTTTGGGCTGCTGCTGCACGAATCCAGATGCTGCTTTATGTGCTGCTGCTGGAGCTTCAAGGCACTGCGGTAGGAAATCCTCCCTAAACGCACCACCTTCACAGCCGCCTTTCCGACTGACATTGTGTTTTCAGATGGGTTTTTAAAGCATCAACTAAAGAGACGGAAAACAAGGTCACAATTATTTCCTGTATTTTATTTGTATTAATCCATAAATCATGTTGGAATGACATTGTGAAATAATCATAGCCGTTTCTAAAAAAAAAAAAAAACACTAATAAAAATGACAAAAGTACATAACGTACTAAATTAAAGAACAACAATAAAAGCTAGTTCAAATGTTATAACTTTTTTTATTAGATCATAAATAGGGATACGCTTTTGTAGAATCATGTTATGTGTAGGCTATATTATGTACAGGAAAAGAAAAGAAAAAATGTTTTGCATATGAAAAAAAAAACTTAAATCACGTATGTTATTAAAAAACGACCCATATATTATACAAATTAAAATATATAAAATAGAAATTGTAAAGTTCACTGATACCCGGCGCAAATGATCTAGAAAGTTGGCAAGGAAAATCTGCAGGAAAAAAAGCTGCAATTAATCTGATATATTTCAAGAGGAATTCAACACTAACTGTAATGTCCACATTACACACCAGCTTTAACACCAGATGCACGAAAACAACAAGTACAAACATAAACTGATGTTAGAAGCTCAGAAAGCTTGATCCGTCTGTTAAAGGGGAGTCTTTTCTTACTGGCCGCTGCCATACTGCCAGTGCAGATCTTACTCTACTGTAACTGAAGGCGGAACGCCTGGTGCATTACTGCCATCTACTGGTTTGGTGCGCTACCTACTTTACAAAAATGTCTTCTTTTTCTTCTTCTTGGCTTTTAACGGTGGCTGGCAACCAGTGTAATTAGGTGCATTACCGCCACCTTTTGCTCCGGAGTGTGGAACAGAGAGTTACGTTCTACTTATTAATCCCGTCCTTTTAAGAAAATTAAAGAAAGCTTTACTATTTATTTCACTTGCCCATTTTATAAAAGATTTAAAATGTACCACCTGAATTCCATTCTTCTTGATTTCAACTATCATATTACTTCTTTCTTCCTCATATTTCTTACATTCAAGAATTACATGGGTTACTGTTTCTTCTACTTTGCATTGTTCACATAGTCCATTTGGATGTTTCCCTAATATTTTGAGTGTACTATTAAGATTGGAATGTCCCAACAATATTCTATTATAAACAACCTCTTCTTTCCTTGTTTTACCAATATGTCTTATTTTTTGACTTACTTTGTTAATTAAATTGTAGAAAAATCTACCCTTTTCGTTATTGTCCCACTTTATTTGCCATTCTGCAATAACCTTTTTCCAGATTAAAACCTTAATTTCAGACTTGCTTAGAGGAACTTGTAATTCTATTTCTTCTCTCTGCAAAGCTTGTTTTGCCCTGTTGAAAAAAAACAGCATATGCTGGTTAGGTATGTTTTGACGCTGGGATGCTGGTCCTTTGCTGGTTTAAACTGGTCCTTTGCTGGTTTAAGCTGGTCCTTTGCTTTTGTTTGGTCTTCCAAAAGAGGACGATATCCGCTTCGTTATGCCTAGATCTGATCTGTGCTGGTCGCTGAGGGAATACTTCAACAGCAGCATCATATGACCCCTTTAAGACTCTTTAAAACTGAGTGAATCAGAACAAATTAAAACCTTTCCAGGTTTATAATCCTCTACGCACTGCAAGGACAAGAGTATTGCAATCATTTCAACAGTATATACTGCCAAATGATTGGATAATCGCTTTGTACTACTCATTGCCCAGTCAGGAACTAAAAAAGCAGCTCCAGTTGTAGCAGCATCATATGACCCCTTTAAGACTCTTTAAAACTGAGTGAATCAGAACAAATTAAAACCTTTCCAGGTTTATAATCCTCTACCCACTGCAAGGACAAGAGTATTGCTATCATTTCAACAGTATATACTGCCAAATGATTGGATGTTCGCTTTATACTATGAGCCCAGTCAGGAACTAAAAAAGCAGCTCCAGTTGTCTCTCGCTCTGGATCTTTTGAGCCATCTGTAAATATTTGTAAGTATTGAGGATATTGTGTTCTAAAATGTTCAGAGAATGCTGAAGACATGTCTACTTTTCTTTCTGCTTTTTTAATTTCCAACAACTGTAAATCTATATGGGGAGTTATATAACTCCATGGTTCATTTTCAGGAATCACAACTGTTGGGCTCATCTTAAACCTATTTACCTCCATTTCTTCTACATACGCTTCACTACTCCATCCAAAACTTTTTCTACTCAACTTATTTTGTTCCCAACACTTCATTAAAACCATTTTTGTAGGATGATCATCTTTATGACCCTTGAGGTTAGCCCAGTAATTGATCATTAATTGTTTCCTTCTCATTTCCAGAGGAATCTCTCCTAACAGGACTTGTACAAAAATGTCATCATTTACTCATCAAGGTTATGAGTTTCTTTCTTCAGTTGAACACAAAAGAAGATATTTTGAAGAATGTTGTTAACAAATTAAAATGTAAATCATCTTTCAATGAAATGTCACTTAATTTGATATTTAGAATTGTAGTATATATAATAATATTATTATAGTTGATACATTTTTTTAATATCGCATGCGTTTATCGTGCAGCCCTAATAATAATAATAATAATAAAGGAAGCAGTTATTGTAAATTAGTTTTTTTTTTTTTTTAAGTGCTTTATTAATCAATACTACAATAACTCGAGGTATTACATATACACATTATCATATTAACATTAGCTACCAGAGAGAAAAAAACCCACCAAAACTATATAAGGAAAAGGAAAGAGGAAAAAAAAGTAAGACAATTATATACATTTCAGTGTTTTCAAAGCATTACATGTTTTCTGTAAATGAGAATTTTTTTTTTGTTTTGTTTTTTGTCGTTCCACCACCGCTGCATGTGACGCCACGGCTGGGCGGGGCTTGTTTTCAAACCCAGACGCAGGCACATACCAATGAAGATGGCGGCGGTGGGGTCCGCCAAATCCGCTGGACTGGGGCAGAGAGGCAAAACCAGGCCTGGCGCTCTCGCTGCTCCTCTGAGTCTGGAGGAGGCCCGGTGCCCAGTGTGCTCCGAGATTCTGCTGGAGCCGGTAACGATGCCATGCGGACACTCGGTGTGCCTGCATTGTTTCCAGCGGACGGTGAAGTTAATCAGTCTGTGCTGTCCGCTGTGCCGGCTGCGAGTGTCCAGCTGGGCCCGTCAACAGTCCCGGGAGAAGAGCCTGGTCAACACCGAACTCTGGGAGCTGGTCCGGCTCAGTCATCCGGAGAGATGCAGGCGGAGGCTGGAGCAGAGAGACCGAGAGATCGCGGACGGAGGTTCGGAGGACTTGACATATTACATAATCAGGAGTTTGAAATAATTATTTACGCTTCGAGAAATCGCAGCATGACAGTTTTCCAGCTTCAGTGATTTAAGTTCAGTCGGCCGTTTTACCAATAAATTAGAATGGTTAGAAATAAAAATAAAATATTTTATTTCGTTTGGTTTGGTCTGTGGACAAACGCCCAGTTGCGTCGCGTCGCGCGCGTTGCGTTTTCAACTTGAAAAAAACACGTCTTGAATACTCTGTTGTATTCCTCTGGCTAAAGACCATTTGAATGGCTTATTGGTTGGAGTAAACATTTGTTGGAGTATGTACATTTGGGTTTGGTAACTTGTGGCGTTTTGATGGTTTTCTGTCAAACTGCTCTGCGTTCTGTCTGAACGGCATGGGAACAGCGGTCAATATAGTAATACCTGATCAAATCAGTATTTAAAAGATTTTTTTTTCTTAATAATCTCAGTATTATTTCTGTAGTAGTATAGTAACTTATCCTGGTTGTTTGTAAACGTGATGGGTTGTGGTAACTTGTCCAGGCATGTGTGTGTCCAGAGGGTGGAGCTAGTGACAGAACTGAGATTCTCTAGAGAGAATCAGATGTGTTTATTAGTTAGTTGGTTAAGTGTATTGTCCATTCAGAAATTCTTTTTGTATCTGTGACAACTCTTCAGTGATCAACAACAATAATTAACCAATACAAACATCAACAGGTTACAACACATTACAAATAAATACAACCAGCATCAACCAACATCCCTCTAGATGTAAAATCACAACTGTGATATCACAAAAATGTATTTAACAGAGCTATACTGGATGATATAAAAGATCTTTGTGCACGGGCAGTCCGTAATAAGATGTAAAACCACAACTGTGATATCACAAAAATGTATTTAACAGAGCTATACTGGATGATATAAAAGATAATGGAACCCTGTACCTTCGACCAGATGGTAATAACTCATATTCACCACAAAGAGGATGAGATGCATCATGAAGAATTGTATGGCTTTTCCTCACAGCTCAAGATTCACATAGTTTTATCAGACTATGCTGTCGTTTACCTGCAATCTTACTAGCCATATTAACAATTTTATTTAGTTTGTTCTTATTTACTACAGACAGTGAGAAATACCAAGCAACAAATGAAAAATAGAATAGAGCCACCATAAACAAGGCAGAGATACATGAGGGCAAGGGAAGCATGACACTAACAGCATGAATCAATTACAAAATAAAAGACATGGAAAACATGAACAAGAAACACAACCCAAAACACCACATTACAGCATGAAATACAATCGTCGCAGCCCTTTCTTGTAAACAGCTGCTGTATTTACATCCCATGTCAGTTTTACATCAATGATTGTCCCTAGATATTTATATTCATTTACAACTTCAATGCCATCACCATTAACAGTTATTTGTTGATGAGTACCTCTTCTTGTTCTGAAGTCAAAAATCATTTCTTTAGTTTTCCTGTTGTTTAACTGAAGGAAACTAGATTGACACGAATCAACAAACTCATCCACACCTCTACGATACTCCTCTTCATCTTCAGTGATCAAACCAATAATTGCCGTATCGTCTGCATATTTGACATTAAAAACATCAGATGAAAAACCTCTACATTCATTTGTATAAAGGGTAAATAACACTGGGGAGATAATACTTCCCTGTGGGGCCCCTGTGTTGGTCAGATTAGAGGAAGTGCTGATAGAGTTCACCCTAACACACTGTAATCTATCGGTCAAAAAAGACTCAACCCATCTAATGAGTCTGCTATTCACACCCAGCTTAAACAATCTTTCCATTAGAATATGTGGTCGTATAGTATTAAATGCAGATGAGAAATCTACAAACATAACACGGGCATATCGCTTTGGTTGATCAAGATGACAATAGAGTCTTTGTAGCATATACAAGAGGGCATCTTCTGCCACTCCTCCCCCTCCTATATGCAAATTGTAAAGGATCGAGTTTGTTTCGCACCTCAGAAAGAACACGATCTAACACTATTTTTTCAAAACTCTTCATGACAATAGATGTCAAAGCTACCGGACGATAATCATTTAAAACTGCTGGTTTTGATATTTTTGGCACAGGCACTATAAATGAACATTTCCAGGCAGTAGGTACATAGCAAGTATCCACAGACACTTAAGGAAAACTTGAAATCGCATCATATGACCCCTTTAATTTTCTAATTTTATATAAATATATTTATTATCAGGGGTCAAATTATATAGTTTTTCATCATTTCTAGAGAGGAGGGCATGGAATAATGGGGTACACTATTAGGGCTGCACGATAAATCGAAATGGAATCGAGATCGTGATTTCCTTCTGATTACAGAACCGGCTTTACTAACAAAATGCGCATGACAATCGCATTCGATTAATCGTGCAGCCCTATACACTACTATGCAAAAAAACACACCTCTTCATTCTTTATGACATTTTAGGACAACAGTCATCAAAACTATGAAATAGCACATAGAGGTATAGAAATTATGTAAAGTGTCAAGCAAATCAAAATTATACTTTGTTAGAAGTTATTCAGAGTTTCCATTTGTCTAGATTACAGCCATACTCTCATTAAACACATTTAACAATATTCACTCAAAATGAAAAAAATAGACAACGGACAATTATTTTAAAATTAAATGCATTTATAGAGCTATATCTGCCACAAACATGAACTAGCACAACTATTAATACACCTAATTAATAATTAATCCGCTAATTAATATTAGCTGATGCCAAATGTCAGACGATTAGTAACTTTGCACATCACTGTTTATTATATCAGAAGGTCTGCAGTATGGAGGAAAGATTAAAAATTGTGACTTACATTTTGATACTTCCCTCAATAAATTGTTTTCCGATTGTTAGGTGTTAAAAAAAGATATACATCCATTCTATCACTGTGCTGTATTACAGTTGTCTTCATAGCAGTGCTGTCCAGAGGAGCAGGAGCTGTACAGATTCTGAGGATGGAAGAGGAAAAAACAGAGGTCACGCACATCATGCCGTTCCTGACAAGGTATAATATTTCAGTTATTGGCTGAATGAGTATGTTCAAATAAGCTTCAGTTTAATTTGTAAGTTGTTTAGGGTGAATTGTTGGATAAAACACCAGTCCTGTTGTTCCAAGAAATGTAATTGGCTCTCAAATTTAAATTGCGGAGTATAAAATGTTGTAAGTAAAACTATTTTAGAAGACATATTTATCTGCAACTTTTAGTACAGTTCATAGCTTTTGCTAGAGTAGGGTTCTTCATATCTTATAGGGCTGTCAGCAATGATTATTTTCATAATGGAGTAATCGGTTGATAATTCTGATGATTAATAGAGTAATTGGATTTTTGTTTTTTTGTGGTTATAAAAATAGACCTAAGCCAACAGACTTTAAAATGACTCACAATACATACATAATAGCAATAAGGAAATAATAATTGGTTCAAATAAAATATCAAAAGCAAGTAATCATATGGTTTTATTGAACAAAACAGTTGAAATGCATAATATAAATATAGCTGCAAGTGTTAATTTTGTCAGCTATTTTTTATTTAGTCTTAGTCCTGTGTCAAATGTAACTTTTAGTTTTTATCATATTTGGTCAACTTGTCCTGTTTTAGTTTTAATCAAGTTTTAGTTGACTAAATGCCTGAGCATTTTAGTCTAGTTTTAGTCAGTGGAAACTTATACATTTTCGTAATATTTTCGTCTTACTGTATAATGGTTAAAATGATAAAAAAAAATGATTGTTGTCATTTGGGAAATTTATTTTTACATTTCAGCAGAAGTTGCTCTTACACCATTATGCACAAATCAATAGAATATCAACTCGTATGCATGGTTTATTTTACCTCATCTAGTGTACAGATTTATAACAGGATATCAATTAGAGGCTAAATAAACACCAAAGACTTTAGATATACACTCGCCCTGTCTACATTATGAAAACTGGTGTAACAAAAACCTACTCAAATATTATAAAACCTACTCGAATATGATAACAGAGAAATTCCTAATAGTAATTCCAAATTGCATTAATGTTTATCTTTTAAAACAACTCTTTTAAAACCCGCCCCCCCAAAAAAAACAAACTTATTGCCGCTCAGAGGTTGCGTAAGTAACATTACAATCAGCAACCACTATCGCAAACAATACAGTCGAGATCCATGACAGTACACAGACTGGCTGAATGACACTTTCATTTAAGCAGAATACCTCAAATAGAGATCGCTGAACTGCAGCTTACTTGTACAGTATTATATGTTGGTGTTTTCAGATCATGGCGCCTCCACAGAGAGAATGCGTGTGAATGGTTGCCAGATTTCATAAAGCAAAAAGCCGGGCAGAGTACGTATCCGTTTAACAGAAAAGCTCTGATTGGGGGATTTGATCTCTTGATATCTGGCAACCGCAAACATGAACACTCTCGTAATAGAGTCTTGAACAGCAGTCTGAAATGTTTTGGCTCCACTTTTTTCAACAAAAAATAAAAAGGTTTTGGTAAAGTTTTTGTTCTTTTAACTACATTTAGTCTCGTCTTTTTTCGTCAATGATATTGCATGCTCATTTAGTCTCAGTTATCGTTTCATGAACTTATTATCGTCTCGTCATCGTCTTGTTTTCGTCAGGGGAAAAAACTTCGTTGACATACATTTTTAGTCATAGATTTCATTAAAGAAATTAACACTACTGCAAGCTGCGATTACCGGGGTTCAAGCGCTTTAAGGCCTTATGCTTTTAGGGTCTAGGCCAGGGGTAGGCAAGTTCGGTCCTATAGAGCCGCAGTCCTGCAGAGTTCAGCTCCAACCCTAATCAAACACACCTGAACAAGCTAATCAATGTCTTCAGGATTACTAAGGCTATAGGCAGGTGTTTTTTTTTTTCAAGGTTGGAGCTGAACTCTGCAGCTCTCTAGGACCGAACAAGCCTACCCCTGGTCTAGGCCAACCCAAAATTAATGGCTGACACTGAAACGCATCCATGATGCAGAATACGCTCACAGACACAGACACACACACACAGAAATTTAATGGTTAAACAATTATATTAGTGCTCATTAAACATGCTTACACACACATTTTGTTGCACATATAGATTTCCGATATAAATGGTAGGTAACAAAATGCTTACTTGCAAGTCTTCTCTTTTTAAGAGGTTATATATCATTTTCAGGTTTCACAGAAATCATAATCTGGCATAATTGTAAAAACTGATACGTTTGTATAAATAAAGTGGTAAACTTTGAGTAAATGTGATTTTTAAATGTTATAATAATGATTTTATAACGTCTACATGCGAATCCAAAAGTAAAACCTGTGAAAAGTACTATATTAGTGAGTTGAATGAGCCCATTATTGGCCCTCTGCTGCCGTGGTTATAATTGCAATTTCAGGGAACTTCCCAAAGAAGTATACTGTCTTTAAAGGTGCAGTAGGAGATCTTGGAAAATGCTAAATTTAGCCTGATAGCACTGAAAGCGAACGTCCCACCCTACCTGCAATCGCCGTCCAAAGCCACACCCCCTAAACGCATATACGCTCACAGACCAGAATACCAGGACTGGAATTTGGAACCGCTGGGCTACATCATGTCATTCACCGGTGAGAAAACTTTAAAAGTACAACAATATCAGGAAGGAAGATCGGGTTGTTGATGTTTGCCTGCCATCCTCGCTCTGTCTGCACAGCGTGCGTGAACGTGCTGATGATGTATCCTGTCTGCGCGAACCGGGTGCGCAGAGGTATGCTAATACATAAGTTGACAGGCAGGTAGGCAAGCCAATTAAAACGCTCGAGCGTTTTAATTGGACTAACATTTCTTGGTCCTACATCTCCACAGAATATATAAATGCAGATAAATACATTTAGACCACTTAACTTAATGATTGCTATCGGGATGTGAAGAGACTTTCAACCAGCATAACAAAAAATGTTTCTGAAAACGATCACCTATTGCACCTTTAAGCTTTATTACTATTATCGTGCCAATTTTTACCCAATCTCCATTAAATGTTGCATGCTTGTTTAGAAACATATGAAGCATGGATTGAGGGCCATTTACAGCCATTTTATGGGATTTGCCATAGAAATACAGCATTTTTGCACCTTTTTAACAGTTATTGCCTCAGCTATGGGCAGATCTCCATAAAAGTTTGCATGCTTCTTTAGAATCGTTTGGTAAATGATCATCTGCCTTAAATTTCTACTCTTATGTTTGCTTTCATAACTTAACTTGTTTATTATGTGATCTCTGTCTAGTTGATTATGTATTGTATACTTGAATGTATTTGTGTCCTTGTTACCTACCAACCTTATGTAAAGCGTCATTGGGTTCTTGAAAGGTGCTATATTAATAAAACATATTATTAATATTATTATGTGTCGCATGAGCTCACCCAGTTTTAAGTTTTGAGTTTGCGTTTAGGATTTATAGGCTTTGGGGTATATTTGGCCATTTTCTAAATGGCCGTTATAACTAGCCAAAGGGGAAAGTTCAACATTTTTGGATAATTATTGACCTTATTATTGAGGTGACTACCTAGGAGTAGTTTGCAAAAGTAGTTTTTTTTTTTTTTAATAATGTCAAATATTTAAAGAACAGTTTGATTGACAGCAGTGGTCCTGTAGGCAAAGTTCGTACGCTGTGAAGATCTAGTGTGAATACGTGAACATTTTTTGCTATTTCAGGTCATTTATCATAGAAATGTAGTGTTTTTGAAGCCTTTGTGAAAGTTATAGTGCCACCTGTGGTCCGATCTCCATGAAACTTTGCATGTTTGTTTAAAATAAACTGTTGCATGTGCTAACCTAGTTTTGTGAAGTTTTGAATTTCCGTTTAGGCTTTATAGGCTTGTGGGTATATTTGGGCCACATCCACACAAAGCCAGAGCTTTCCCTATCCAATCTTTATTTTTTCCTCATTCTAAAAAAAAATTCTGTAAACATGGCATTGTCTCAAGAAATATCTGCGTACACACACCCATTGTTAAGTTTTGAGTTTGCGTTTAGGATTTATAGGCTTGTGGGTATATTTGGGCCACATCCACACAAAGCCAGAGCTTTCCCTATCCAATCTTTATTTTTTCCTCATTCTAAAAAAAAATTCTGTAAACATGGCATTGTCTCAAGAAATATCTGCGTACACACGAAACCACTGAAACCGACTCAAAACGATGTAGTATACATGCCAGACCAGTATGTGGCACTGTAATTCTGCCACAGAAATACACTAAAAATGGAGACAAATACTTGGAGCATGCGCATAAACCTTGCATGTAGTCCGCCATTGTTGTTGTTGCTGTTAAGTGACGTAGCAGTGTCTGACTAGGGTCGAGACGTGGGGTGATGACATCATCGTTTCACAAAATATACGGATTGGCTGTACACACGAAAACGCAAGGGTATAGTTTTCAGATTTATACACTCTGGGACAGGGTTTCAAAGAATAGTGGTTTCAGACTCCCAAAATGCTAGATCCGTCTGGATGAAACGCTGATACGATACAACATTTTTTACGGATACAGCTAAAGGCGTCTCCATGTGGACAGGCTCTTGGACATACCCCTTTTTTAAACTACCCCGTTATAGCCATCCAAAGGGTAAAGTTCAAAAATGTTTTTATAATTATTGACCTAGAGAGTCCAGAGAATTGTACTGCAGTGGTTTTTTTCGAGATTGAGCGAAAAACCTAGGACTAGTTCGCAAAAGTAGGTGTTTTACATATTATCAATTATTTTACAGACGATTTGATTGACAGCAGTGGTTCTAGAGGCAAAGTTGTTCAGAATGAGGAGCTCTATCAGATGATATGAATATTGTTGTATGTCTGAAAAACCGTGCAATATACAATCGTTTCAGACTCCCAAAATGCTAGATCCGTCTGGATGAAACGCTGATACGATACAACATTTTTTACGGATACAGCTAAAGGCGTCTCCATGTGGACAGGCTCTTGGACATACCCCTTTTTTGGTATAGAGAGTCCAGAGAATTGTACTGCAGTGTAGAGCCCTGCGCGGGACTGTTTTCTTAAACCCGCACCCGCCCGCTCCCGCTGAATGTATGACCAGGACCGCCCGCTCCCGCAACCTATGTGTTCCACTCCCGCCCGCGCCCGCAATGTTTGTGTCCACTCCCGCCCGCTCCCGCGGACTTTATCTCAGAGCTTGTGAAAATTATACACAAATACTTAAGTTAACATCCAGAATAACAGACTTTAAACATGATTGCGTTTAAATAAGATGAAGTAACCAATGCTAAACCAAAGCACCACACATGACAAAAACATTGGGTATTTTTTTATTAGCTTATAAAACATTAACCGTCCAAACAAAACAGCAACTAGCGGCACCTCAGTTTTTAAACGCAGGCTAGGCCTACTGCATACACACGCACCAAACAATTAACTAGGAAATAACTTTAACATTAAATAAATAAACACAGAGAACTTTGAAAATAGGCTAGATATAATTTTAACAAATTAAATACAAAACGAAAAAAAAAAACCTAGGACTAGTTCGCAAAAGTAGGTGTTTTACATATTATCAATTATTTTACAGACGATTTGATTGACAGCAGTGGTTCTAGAGGCAAAGTTGTTCAGAATGAGGAGCTCTATCAGATGATATGAATATTGTTGTATGTCTGAAAAACCGTGCAATATACAATCGTTTACGCCCTTGAAAAATGTGATATCGCTCCCCAGGGACCGATTTATTTCAAAATTTCTCACAGACCTTTAGGGCCACGAGTCAAACAGGCCCACCGAGTTTCATTCCGATTGTCCTCTGTTAACCTTGTCTTGTCCTTATCCTTGTCCTTATAGACACCTGTGGCACTTTGGATAAAAGACACTGCATACCAATTTTCATGTTGATCGGACAAATAGTTGCTTAGTCATAGCCATTTTTCCCCTCTTATAGCGCCACCAAGTGGCCAAGCTCTGCGATTTTTTTTTTTCATGTGAACTTTGAATGAGCTCCTACATGAGTGTTCTGAGTTTGTCGACGATATCTCATTCCGTTCAAAAGTTATAGCTGTTTTAGTAAAAGCTGTCCTGCCCCTTTTGAACATTTTGGCATCCCTTTCAATGTTGAGTCGAAGTCGAAATTTCAACCCTTTTTTTTGGATAATTATTGATATTCACGCTCCAGAAAATCTTTCCGCACTGGTTTGGTTCTGATCGGGCAAAATACCTAGGACTAGTTCGCAAAGGTAGGTTTTTAAAAAAATCCAGCATACCTGAAAATTTTGGGTGACAATTAAATCCAAGGCATGGGTTTTGTCCGTCATGAGCCTAGGATTCCAACAACATAAGGCACTTGAGCCTGCGTCTAACAGTTTAGGAGTTATGAGCAATTTTGTACTTTTGATCGCTGTAGCGCCCCCATCAGACCGATTGGGGTGAGCCTTGATGACATTGTATACGGTGAGTACTACCATCCCTCCAAGTTTAAAGTCTCTACAACTTACAGTTTGGTCTGCCCAATCAGATTTACGTGGAAATTGCTGATACTTGGCCATTCTAACTATTTGAATAGGGTTTCAGCGCTACCTGCTTGAACCCCTAATAAAACAATATAATCATAACTTATGTACATTATGCATTATATCAAATGCCTGCAGAGGGTGCCAACTGCCTGACTATTGTTTTTAGTTTACAGCACGATCTCTTGCTGATTTTGATTGCTTCCATTGTCCTCATTTGTAAGTCACTTTGGATAAAAGCGTCTGCTAAATGACTAAATGTAAATGTAACATAAATCTGTATCCTAACTCAAGCTTCTGTCAAATGTGCATTTCTAAGAGACAAAAAATTTTTATACTATTAATATTGCAGCCTGCACTGCAAACTGTGCTGAAGATACACATCATCAAAGTCAGGAACACAAACCTGTTTCATGATTTGAAACAATATCACTCATTAGAACATGCAGAAACTAAAAAGGTAGGTTTTTAAAAAAATCCAGCATACCTGAAAATTTTGGGTGACAATTAAATCCAAGGCATGGGTTTTGTCCGTCATGAGCCTAGGATTCCAACAACATAAGGCACTTGAGCCTGCGTCTAACAGTTTAGGAGTTATGAGCAATTTTGTACTTTTGATCGCTGTAGCGCCCCCATCAGACCGATTGGGGTGAGCCTTGATGACATTGTATACGGTGAGTACTACCATCCCTCCAAGTTTAAAGTCTCTACAACTTACAGTTTGGTCTGCCCAATCAGATTTACGTGGAAATTGCTGATACTTGGCCATTCTAACTATTTGAATAGGGTTTCAGCGCTACCTGCTTGAACCCCTAATAAAACAATATAATCATAACTTATGTACATTATGCATTATATCAAATGCCTGCAGAGGGTGCCAACTGCCTGACTATTGTTTTTAGTTTACAGCACGATCTCTTGCTGATTTTGATTGCTTCCATTGTCCTCATTTGTAAGTCACTTTGGATAAAAGCGTCTGCTAAATGACTAAATGTAAATGTAACATAAATCTGTATCCTAACTCAAGCTTCTGTCAAATGTGCATTTCTAAGAGACAAAAAATTTTTATACTATTAATATTGCAGCCTGCACTGCAAACTGTGCTGAAGATACACATCATCAAAGTCAGGAACACAAACCTGTTTCATGATTTGAAACAATATCACTCATTAGAACATGCAGAAACAAAAAAATATATATATATTTTCTATTAAGATATTTCTCTTAAGGAAAAATGACTGGAAAAGTTTAAAGAATTCAAAAACGTTTAGTGTTTGTCATGTTCTGACCATAAAGAGTAGTTTAAAACCACAATCAACGGTCTTGTTTCTATAACTTTCACTTAGGAGCAAAAAAAAATCTGCCTTTAAACTTGAAAAAAATTAATTTATCGTGATAATTATCAATATCGACTGATATGAACATTTTTATTTTTTGGCCATATTGCCCAGCCCTACTCTGCAGGATGTTGGCCCTTCAGGAGCATGATTGGACACCCCTATAGTAAGAAATAGCATATGTTGTGGCAAGCTTGACAATAGACAAATTGTCCAGTGAATCAGTCATTTTTATTGTCAGTGATACTACTCTGCATCTCTTTCCCTGCTCTAGGCTAGCATCACTCATAGTTACAACGCTGGAATCCTTCTGTCCTCAGAGAACAGTCACTCTTTCTCAGCTCCGGTACTGAGCTTAGATAAGAGACACCATTGGCGGGGCATCCACACCTCATCCGCTTCGCTCGTGCTTCAGACCAAACCAGAGAGGTCTATTAGCCCAGAGAGCAATGACAGCATATCGGAAGAACTCAACCATTTCAAGCCTATTGTCTGCTCGCCGTGCACTCCACCCAAAAGGCTGCCCGATGGGCGACTTTTGGAACCTACAATCGTGAAGTCAACCCCTAGGAACTTGACACGCACTCTGCACAAGTCCACAAGCTACGAGGCCAGCCCGACCATCTTGCAGAAGTGGAAGCAAATTGAAGTTGATCGTCAGTGTATCAAGGTGACCTCAAAAGGTACAGTCACAAGTCCGATCGCAGAGGATCTTAGCCTTAAACTGAGTCCCGTTGAAGAACTGGACAGCCGACTCTGCAGCTGTGCTGTAGCCAAGGACAGCTTGCAAGATCATCAGTGCATTTGTGAACCAAGTGCTAAGGATCAGAAGGATAAACCTGTAGTCTGTAATAAACGACGGCTTGTATTTGATCAGTGTAACAAAGAGGAAGGTACACAGCCAGCTAGCGCTCACATCAGGTCGACAACTCAAACCATTGCAGATACTTCATCTGCAAAAGGGCGAAGCAAATGTGAAGCACTCTGTGAACCCACAGAAATTTGTGAACCGATGCTTGATAAACCTGCTGGACACTGTAATCTGGGTACTGAAGACCTAGAGAACTTCATAAATGAGCCTACCACCAGGAGCTGTGTACTTAACAGACCTACCTCAAGAAGGGGCAAAAAGAGAAGCCACAAAACCAAATATTTGGAAGAGACCCTACAGACAAAAATGTCCCGGACAGATGTCTGTGACAGGTTTGATGATCTGATTGTCCAGCAAACGAATCAGGAAAAGGAGGACAGAGAACTGGCACAAAAGCTACAAAGACAGTTTGACAGAGAATGTCAAAAAGTAGACAGGAACAAAACAAGTCGTAACAAATACGAACTCCGGTCCTGGGCTACAAAAGATGGGATGGTAGGACACAGTACACGCAGATCAGGAAGAATCTCCAAACGAAATGAGCACTTTAGCTACAGCTGTTAAAGGAACCTCCGGTTATGGTAGTGTTTTATTGTAATGATTTGTCACGGTCACAAACGTTTTCTTTGTTGAGGCACTACAGAGGCTTTCTAAGATCTGGATAAGTATTGTAAGATAAGGTATTTACTTTTTTGACTTTTCATCCAAACCAACTTGCGTTAATCGAGTCCACCTAGAGCAGAGGTGCCAACCCTGTTCCTGGAGATCTCGCAAAGTTCAGCTCCAACCCTGATCAAACAAAACAGAGCCAGCTAATTAAGATCTTCAGGAGCATTTGGTAATTACAGACAGGTGTGTTGGATCTGAACTCTGCAGGTAGATCTCCAGGAACAGGATTGGGCACCCGTGACGTAGAGCAAGCAAGTGCCTTTGCTCGGGGCAAAATGGTGGTAGGACAAGTGTGGACTCTCAGGAACTTTCCTATTTATGAGGATCTAGATTTGAAGCTGCAATGTTTTGTTTCAAGCTCTCTTACTGTTTAACTGGCTTCTACTACTCAAAAAGGAGGAAATTAATGTTTTAATTTATAAGAACTCTGAAAGGCTTTTAGTACTTCAAGCCATATATGACAGTACTCCTTACAATCTCTTTGTGCTCATCACAATCACAATTGCTCCTCAAGAAGTTTGTTTGCATGTATAAAAGTTATCATAGGACATTTGTTGATACAGGTGTTTTGTACAAAAATTGTAGCATAACTCTTTTTCTTTGGCATTTCTCGTTTCCAGTGGCTTGGGAAGTTTTCTTGATGTATCCATCAATCAAACAACTCGTATAATTCTTTTATTTTTTTGTAATTTTTATATATTTTTTTAACCATTTAGGTGGAAAAAAGTAAAAATTGCAGGCTTAGGCCAGAAAACTACTCTACACAAGTACATGGACACAAATGCTTGTTTAACGATTTGCAAGACCAAGGTCTTGTTGTATGTAACCTCTTTTTAGGCTGTTCTTGTTGTACTGTGGCGGAAACAAACCTCAGTACTCACGGCAGTGATAGAATTGCCTTCAAATGTTTGAGCCATTAACCAGGATGTATTATTTTCAGCTGGCTACCTATGAACATGTTGGCAGTTAAAGCCAGGGTAGGTAGTTTGGTTCAAAAAAGTTTTGTTTTATGTTGGTTGAAAGTCTCTTCACATTCCTATAACAATCACTAAGTTAAGTGGTCTAAATGTATCTATATGTATTTATATCATCTGCGGAAGGCTTAGGACCATAAATTGTCAGAGGGCTACCATAGGCTGTCCTACCTGCCTGTCAACATATGTATTTGCATACCTCTGAGCACCCGGTTCGTGCAGGAATAAGTCATCAGCGTGTTCCATTACGCTATTGCAGACCGAGCGAGAATGGAAGACGTTATTATTGTAATATCATGCGCTTTGTACTGTAATGCTTTCTCACCGGTGAATGAGACATAAGGTAATCTGTAAGCGTTGCATTCAACCCTCCACCAATGCCAGTTCTCGTTGCGTCGCTGGTTAGCCACTGGTCTGTCTGTGCGCGTTCATGTGTTTTGGAGGAGGCGTGGCTTTGGAGGGTGATTTGCAAGGAGGGTGGGATATTATGCTTTCAAAGCTAGCTTGCTATTGCTAGCCTCTCTGAAACATCAAAGAAGGTAGTAAGTAGTTCACCATAGAAAATCCATAGAGGATCGTAGATAACGGTTTATGCCTGTGCTTGTTATAGCGCCCCTTGTGGCAGTGCTGAGAACTCGATTAACACACATACTTGTGATGCGCTACAATTTTTTAAAAACATTTCTTTGTCGGAAATCAAACTTGAGTATCAAGAGCTTGTATTCACATATTTGTGTAGAGTATTTTGGGGCCTAACTGTGCTAATATTATTACTATACTGTTTTTCGCCATCAAGTATAATAGCTATAAAATAGTTTGGGATTTTAAAATGCTAAAAGGCATTGTGTAACAGTGTTAGTTAAGATTTCTAAAGAAAATCTTTTTTTTTTTTTTTTAAACCTAACTTTTTTTTCTATATTAAGTGTTTTGACACTCTCCAAACTGTAATCTGCATTTGGACTCTTCAAATGATGCAACACCACAACAATAATAAAAAAATTAATAAAAAATCAAGCATGCTCACTTGATTTGGCAACAAGAAGAAAAAAAGTATGAGAATTTGCTTTAAGACATTAGTTTTCTGGACATTATAGTTTTTTTGTAGTTTACCCATATTTCACTTTTAGCTTGATGTTCACACTACTCTTAAGGGCTACTTTCATTTCAGAACTATATCTATTAAGCTTTGTTCACTAGAGAGATCTATTTTGTGACTTGTCTGGCAAGAAAGCTTTAATGTTACTTTTGCTGAAAAATTACACATTCAGTTGGACCACATGCATATGCACACACATTTAATCTTGTCTACTTTCGTCATTGATCTAATTTTTATTTTAGATTCATTTCTATACTGTATACTTCTTTGTAATGTGCCAACATGTCTGATTTCTGCAAATCGAGCAATCTTTCCTTTTTGTTTTTTTCTTTTTTGTAGTTATTAGTTAGGTCATATGCAGTTCTGTAGGCTACCAGATGTACTATTGGAGAAGATGAAATCGATTTTTTTTTATGCATTACTGTACTATTTTGGAAACATGACTTGCCTATATTGATACAGATGCAAAGATGTTAATAGGAACTGTTTCTGATGGGCTTTCAAAGCGCTTGGATTGACTTCCATTGTTGAAAGGTATTGCTGGATTTGGAAGAGAATGTTGCATATGTTTGGATTCTGTGGAGAAGTAAAGCACACATTATATTTATTTGAACAGTACTTTGTAATAATGTCATCTTTTTAAATATTGCATTTCAAAAAAAACAAAAACAAAACAAGATTTTCTTGTTTCAGTCAACAGAACACTGAGCGTTATAACTTGACAGGAATGAAATAATGTAGCATTCATTCAGAATTTTACAAGTTTTTTGCCTTTTGTGTTTTTAAAAGGATTAAAAGATTTTTGTTTTGTTTTTGACTCATCTTATTAGATGCTCAGGAGGGTTATATACTTTTTGTATTTAAGTATGTCTTGCTCCCTTATGACAGACATTTAGTTTTTTCTAAAAGTTTTTTTTTTTGCACTTGATACATTTGCTAATCGTTCTTTTCATATTTTGTCATGTTTACCTTGAAGGAATTCATTGAAGAAAATCAAGATTTAAAAAAAAATATATATATCAAATTAATAAATGAAGATAAAAGTTAAATGTGGTCTAAAGGTCTTCGCCTTTATTTCATAACTTGGCAAATATACATCTGCAAAATAAAGGTGCTAAATGTACCTGAATGAAATAACTCTCTACAGGTATTATTCATCTTGGTGGAAACCCTGGATCAGCATGGGATTGGTGACTCCGGGACACAGACCCTGGGGACCCCCAAAAAAGTGAAACCGGATTCATTTCAATTTGGCTGATAAGAAGATTTTGGAAGTTTTACTAAATAAAAGCTTAGGTTCTCAAAGTTAGTGTAATGTTTTGTCCTTCTAAAGCGCTGTGGTCTGGAACAAGAAAACCAGGGTTCAAACCATTTCATCAATGTCCTGCCAGCAGTGGGCTTTTTCCAAATTTAGCATTTAACATTGAGGATGTTGATGCACAGTTCTTCATTTCAAGTGGCTCAGCAAATTAGAAGGACCTTTTATAACAAAAGGAGGCTTACACGAACTAATAGAATAAATGTGAGATATTTCTTTAAAAGATTGTAATCATGTGAATGCAAACGTGCAGAAATAAGTCGTTAGGTTCTAAAGTGGGCGGCGCATAGTTTTGGAAGTTACTTTCGGTATGTCAGATGCGGTGATGACCATAGACATAAAATGTTTTAGAAATATAAAGTATTGTGTATTTTGTCTGGTGATGATGACCAGATCTGCGGCTTTTATGTAAAAAGTTTTGTTTATGGTTAGTAGCAATTTCAAAGAGCGCGCCATTAAAATAATTCTCACTTTTTATTTTCGAACACGAGAATTTGCATTTGTCTCCGTGCCGTTATACCGCAGAGGAAAAACGTCACCGCGTCTAGCCAATCAGAGAGCTCGCCCTAGTCACTTTAGCCCGCCCACTTTGACGGACCAAGGCGCTCTGTTTCAACCCGATTTCGATTGGACAGTTTTTGTGTGATTTTAGCCAATCACAGTCACCCAGGCCACAGCAAACCAACAGGAAGAAAAGATGGCGGCGAGGAACGGAAAGAATGGTCTACTGGAAAAAGTAAGAAATATATATTGCATGCCGCATTTTTGGAGATACGTTTATATTTGTGCAACCATCC